TCTGGCACACACAGCCATGTTTCCTCAGTCCCTTGTTTAAACTTCAGTTACTATGTGGCTCCTGATTCAAGTCAAGTCAGTACAGAGCCATGTATATCAAAGCATTTGTGCAATGTTATTCCGTCAAGTAGGGGAGATACTGGGAGTAAGATTAAGCATGCCCAAAGCAGCGAGATTCATGATTCAAGTCGGAAATCCTGGATATGACAGCCAAGAAGCACCACTTGCTCAACATTTGGCTCCCACCTCTGGTCTGTGATCTGTGATTGTACAGATTCTTGGGACACACTGTCCTGGCTTCTCAGGATGTGTCGGTATCAAGTTAGATGCTGTTTTGTCTTTTATCCACGTGGAAAAATGAAAATAGGGCTTTGATATTTGGTATGTATGCTCGACTGTTGCCCAGGTGGTTCCAGCTGTTGGCATGGCGATGGCTCCCTGAGAGCCTGCAGATCAAGTACAGCACCATGGAATCGGTGGGATGCTGTTGATGCTGCAGATCTTCCAGCCAATGGGACTTACGTTTGTATCTCTTTGGGGCTTTCTTTACAATCTACAGAGTCTTTACAATCTATAGAGTCTTTACTATCTTACCTGCACATGGCCCCTTATGAATAACAATATTTCAGTCAGTTTCAGTTATACTGATAACATAGCCTGTCATGGTGTACAATCTGTACACTTCTACTGACACATGGTTTATCATGGTGTTCGATCTGTACAATCCTACAGGCACATGGCATGTCATGGTGTTCAGTCTGTAAAATCCTACAGGCACATGACCTGTCATGGTGTTCAATCTGTACAATCCTACAGGCACATGGCCTGTCATGGTGTTCAATATGTACAATCCTACAGACACATGTGTTAAATCTGTACAATCACATTGATGAATGGTTTATCATGGTGTTCAGTCTGTACAATCCTACAGACACATGGTTTATCATGGTGTTCAATCTGTACAATCCTACTGACACATGGCCTGTCATGGTGTTCAGTCTGTACAATCCTACTGACACATGGCCTGTCATGGTGTTCAATCTGTACAATCCTACAGACACATGGCAATCTGTACAACCTCTGTCATGGTGTTCAATCTGTACAATCCTACAGACACATGTGTTAAAACTGTACAATCACATTGATGAATGGTTTATCATGGTGTTCAGTCTGTACAATCTACAGACATAGTTGTCTACAGACACATGGCCTGTCATGGTGTTCAATCTGTACAATCCTACAGACACATGGCCTGTCATGGTGTTCAATCTGTACAATCCTACTGACACATGGCCTGTCATGGTGTTCAATCTGTACAATCCTACAGACACATGGCCTGTCATGGTGTTCAATCTGTACAATCCTACAGACACATGGCCTGTCATGGTGTTCAATCTGTACAATCCTACAGACACATGGCCGGTCATGGTGTTCAATATGTACAATCCTACCACAGACACATGGCCTGTCATGGTGTTCAATCTGCACAATCCTACAGACACATGGCCTGTCATGGTGTTGAATCAGTACAATCCTACTGACATGGCAGAAAAACAAGAGAAACACCACATACAATATTCTACAGCTGTAGTTGTCTACAGGCATGTACTGGATATGATTGTATTTGCTGGGAAATTGTCTACTACTGTGATGTGTTCTGTGAACTAACTATAAACCACAAGATGACAAAAATTCTTGGTCAAAGGTGTGTATATCATAAAAATAGAGTCTCATGCAGATAAAATAATAGGTCACCATGAACTGAGAACAACGCTTATGTGGGGCAAAAGTCCAATGAAACTTTATCACCTTTACATCAAACCTTTGTGGAATAAGAGACATCTTTGTCTTCATCTGAGCTGAATGATGTTTATTAAGATGAGATCCTATTCACCAATAGATACCAATGCTTTAAGATGACATACAGATGAACAACCTAAAATGTAAGCAGATGCTTCAGGTCAGCCTGCATGCAGAGCTTGTTGTTTTTTCTGATGAGCATGGAAGAATAATTCCACTTCCATTTCAGGTTTTATGAATGATTATATTTCCCCTTTCATCTTTTAGCAACAACCCTTACAGTGTTCCTTACAGCTTACCTATCATATTGACATTAAGCCAATGTAATCATAGCATTTAACAAAAAACCACCTCGTTTGACAATGGAAATCTGAGTTCAATTTTAAGGATTTCTTAGTCTTTCATTGCCTCATTGAGGCGTGTGGCACAAGAACTTAATTACAGCAATTAATACTTTCCTCAGATGGGAAAGATTTTGATTATATGAAGATATATGGATTCATTCATCAATTATAAATGACATTGCATCTTGTAAGCCAAAGATGAACACAATTATTAACAAGCCAAAAAATGTGAGCAGGGCTCACTCAAACAACCATCTATGACTCTCAACTTCAGCTGAACAACAATTAATAATGATTATTCTTGACACAAATACAACATATGTATCAAAATTTGCACTGAACCTCTGCTTTTTAGGTTGGGGGTATAACATAAAAAGTTATTTGGAATGGACAAACATTTATACAATATTATACAACAATCAAAACAAGTCTGGTGGAATGGAAGTGATGACATAGAATAGATTAATCACTAGATCTAAAGCTGGAGTTAATCCCTACAGATCCAAGACTGTTATGATCTTAGTGCTAAAACTCCAGCTATTAACACCTATACGAAAAACATCAATAAATTCTTGTACTAAAGCTTGTCTGGAACCAAGGTAATGGTGAATAAATACTATATCTCAACATTGAAACAATCTTAGTACTAAGGCTTTAATGAATACACCCTAAAAGTAGTTCTAAGGCAATAATGAATAAACCCTATTTCTCAATACTGAACTGATCCTTGTACTGAAGCTCTGGACCTAGAGTTTCGAAGCTCTCCTAGTGTTAAGATGGTCGTAAGTGCTATACATTAACATTAACTTCAGACTATCTTAGTTCTAAGAGAGCTTCGAAAATCTAGGCCCAGGTGAATAAACCCTTATCCTAGTTCTAAGGCTACAATGAATAAACCTTATATCTCAATACTGAACTGATCCTTGCACTAAGGTTCTGGGCCTAGATTTTCGAAGCTCTCTTAGCTCTAAGATAGTCGTAAGTTAATGTTAATGTATGGCACTTATGACTATCTTAGCGCTAAGAGAGCTTCGAAAATCTAGGCCCTGGTGAATAAACCCTAATCCTAGTTCTAAGGCTACAATGAATAAACCCTATATGTCATTACTGAACTGATCCTTGTACTAAGGCTCTGGTGAATAAACCCTAATCCTAGTTCTAAGGCTACAAGAATAAGCCCTATATCTTAATGCTGATCTGTCCCTTGTACTAAGGCTCTGGTAAATGAACCTTATAGCAGTTCTACATCTGTAATGAATATACCCTATAATTGAATTGATCCTTGTACGAAGACTATGGCAAACACTAAGGCTGTTACGATTCACTCGCATATTCGGTGAATCGAACCGTAGCCCTTCATGAATTCAATTCGTTATTCGTGGTCACCAGAACCGAATGTTAACGATTATTTACGATTGTTTTAAGGGAGCTTGTTTTACTTGAACCCTTATGTAATTTTTCAAAGTGAGATATGAAAGAATGGAATATGTACTAGCCTTGCAGTAGCGCAAGTCATGTTAGTTTGCCAAGGCTGCACATGGTACTGTCAACAATAACTATTACATACCTAATTAGACTGTCATGAGATCACTGGTTATTGCTGTGACAAATTAACACTGTCAACATGGGCGTTCCATATTGTGCATCAATCACTTAACTACAATATTGTATTCGTGAATAATTATTCGTATTCGTTACCCAATATTCGTGATACATATCATATTCGCCACATAGTGTATTCGTTGCAGCCCTAGCAAACACTCTATATCTTAACACTGAATTGATCTTAGTACAAAGGCTATGACAAACAAACTCTGCATCTTAACACTGAATTGATCCTTGTACAAAGGCTATGACGAACAAACTCTAAATCTTAACACTGAATTGATCCTTGTACAAAGGCTATGACAAACAAACTCTAAATCTTAACACTGAATTGATCCTTGTACAAAGGCTATGAACAAACTGATCTTAACAAACTCTAAATCTTAACACTGAATTGATCCTTGTACAAAGGCTATGACACTGAACAAACTCTAAATCTTAACACTGAATTGATCCTTGTACAAATCTGCTATGAACAAAACACTCTCTGAAATCTTAACACTGAATTGATCCTAGTACAAGGGCTATGACAAACAAACTCTAAATCTTAACACTGAATTGATCCTAGTACAAAGGCTATGATGAACAAACTCTAAATCTTAACACTGAATTGATCTTAGTACAAAGGCTATGACGAACAAACTCTAAATCTTAACACTGAATTGATCCTTGTACAAAGGCTATGACAAACAAACTCTAAATCTTAACACTGAATTGATCCTAGTACAAGGACTATGACGAACAAACTCTAAATCTTAACACTGAATTGATCCTTGTACAAAGACTATGGCAAACCAAACTCTAAATCTTAACACTGAATTGATCCTAGTACAAGGCTATGACGAACAAACTCTAAATCTTAACACTGAATTGATCCTAGTACAAGGACTATGACGAACAAACTCTAATTCTTAACACTGAATTGATCCTTGTACAAGGACTATGGCAAAAACTCTACATCTTAACACTGAATTGATCCTTGTACAAGGGCTATGGCAAACACTCTCTATCTTAACACTGAATTGATCCTTGTATGAAGGCTACGATAAACAAACTCCAAATCTTAACACTGAATTGATCCTTGTACGAAGGCTATAGCAAACAAACTGTATGTCTCAACACTTAATGCATTGATCCTTGTACAAAGGCTTTGGTGAATAACTCGATATCCTAACACTGACAGTAAGCTAAGAGCAACCACTGTCACCCTTGCCTCCACACAGTGCTACAGTGTTCACCTCCAACACCAAGATGTCCCCTGAGTCAGGGGTGATGGATGACCTGGAAGATTGCTATGGTCTGCCTCCAGTCAGCAGCTGGGAAATGATGCATGGTGTGTCTACTGTAGACATACACTGATGAAGACGTTCTAATGACAATTGTACATGTGGTAGCATCAGACTGTATCATGATACCTTCATCCAAATAACAGGATGAACCAGTCCGTCAAACAACATGACACTGGTTAAAGTTTGGAAGGGCTGGTATGTCACAATACATACCTAATCAATATGTCTTGAGGAACTGCTCACATATCCACCATGGTTAGCCTCAGTGATGCTGTATACAATCCACAATACAGTAGTATGTGTTCATCGTCTAGATTTATTGTTTTACTAAACAATAATCTGTCTTGCAAAGGTCTGGTATGACTGACTGAGTTTGGTTTTACGCCGCTTTTAGCAATATTCCAGCAACATCACGGCGGGGGACACCAGAAATGGGCTTCACACATTGTGCCCATGTGGGGATTCGAACCCGGGTCTTTGGCGTGACAAGCCAACGCTTTAACCATTAGGCTACCCCACCACCCCTCTGGTATGATGTCATGGTGATTACTGTGTTCGATATACAAGACAAGTGTTATGCATAACAACTTCCTTATTTGTTTCTCACAACGTTTCTAGGCTAGTCCTTGCCCCTTCTTCAGGTGGATCTCACGACGTTTCTGGGCTAGTCCTTGCCCCTTCTTCAGGTGGATCTCACAACGTTTCTGGGCTAGTCCTTGCCCCTTCTTCAGGTGGATCTCACAATGTTTCTGGGCTAGTTCTTGCCCCTTCTTCAGGTGGATCTCACAACGTTTCTGGGCTAGTCCTTGCCCCTTCTTCAGGTTGATCTCACAATGTTTCTGGGCTAGTCCTTGCCCCTTCTTCAGGTGGATCTCACAACGTTTCTGGGATAGTCCTTGCTCCTTCTTCAGGTTGATCTCACAACGTTTCTGGGCTAGTTCTTGCCCCTTCTTCAGGTGGATCTCACAATGTTTCTGGACTAGTCTGTGCCCCTTCTTCAGGTGGATATTGATCACTAGCCCAGAAAAGTTGTGAGAATGAATAAAGAAGTTGTCATCCATAACATTTGTCTTGTATCACTGCACCAACGTCTAAATGCCTTTGAAGAATGTGCTTGATATGTCTTGAAGAAATGCTCATATATTCACATTGGCCAGCCTCTAAGTGTTGTATACAATACATAATACTGTAGTTTGTGTTTGTCATCTTCATTTATTCTTTTACTGTACAACGATCTGTCTTCCAGAGAGTCTGGTGTGTTGTCATGGTGCAAACTTGAAGAATTCTTCACATAATTTTCAGCATCGTTAGCCTTAGTAAAGCTGTATCCAATACATAATAATATGTTTGTGTTTGTCATCCCGGACAAATTTTTTGTCCATACAATGACATGTCTTGCAGTGGTTCTACCAGTTGATGGGCGGTGGGAAAGCCTAGTGGTTAAAGCGTTGGCTCGTCACGCCACAGACCCGGGTTCGAATCCCCACATGGGTACAATGTGTGAAGACCATTTCTGGTGTCCCCCGCCGTGATGTTGCTGGAATTTTGCTAAAAGCGGCGTAAAACCAAACTCAGTCAGTCAGTCTACCAGTTGATCTTGTCTCTTTGCTTCTGTTTCAGCTGTGAAATGTCTGGGGCCTCAGCTAGAACAGTTGGTGGTGGCTCTGTCATTTGTCTGTGGTTTCATGCAAACGTCAGCAATATGGCACAGAATCTTGAATCAGGAAGACGGGGCTGATGTCACACATGATGGTGTAAGGACACAGGAAGTGATCACCAAAGGTTACTGAGCCTGAGCCTGAGCCTGGGCCTGAACCTGAGCTTCAGAATGAGCTTGAGCCTGAGCCTGAGCTTGAGCCTGAGCCTGAGAATGAGCCTGACCCTGGACCTGAGCTTGAGCCTGAGCCTAAGCCTGACCCTGGACCTGGGCTTGAGAATGAGCTTGAGCCTGAGCCTGAGCTTGAGCGAGAATGAGCCTGAGCCTGAGCCTGAGCATGAGCCTGAGCCTGGGCTTGAGAATGAGCTTGAGCCTGAGCCTGAGCTTGAGCCTGAGCCTGAGCCTGAGCCTGAGCCTGAGCAGCCTGAGCCTGAGCCTGAGCCTGAGCCTGAGCCTGAGCCTGAGCCTGAGCCTGAGCCTGAGAATGAGCTTGAGCCTGAGCCTGAGAACCTGAGCCTGAGCTTGAGCTTGAGCTTGAGCTTGAGCTTGAACTGAACCTGGATCTGGGCCTGAGCCTGAGCCTGAGCCTGAACCCTGACAAGCAACAATCTGAATGAGCTGGTGAAATTCCTGAGTATACAAACTGTTACCCTAAATGTATTGGTTCTAGACAAAACTGTACCCATTTATGGTGTCCCCTGAAATGATATTGCTGGAATACTGCTAAAAGTGGCGCAAAAGTCAACTCACTCACTCAAAACTGTCATTCAGCTGTGCTTGGATGTACTACGCTCTGATCTACTCTGATCTGTTGTTGTTCAGCTGTGCCAAGTACAACAAACAGGTTCAGACTATTCATTCCTTGAGGCATGAAAATTGTCCAAACATGAAGCTCTGAAATCATGCAAATATCTGTCATCCATTTGCTGCTGGTTTTCTTCATATATTCTCTACTGCCTGACAATGATGAAGCACAATACCTGCAAGATTACAGTATTCTGCCAATAAGCACTGAAAAGCCTCACAAAGACTGGGTGATACAAAGGTATTGTCAAATCCACAGTAAAAGTGTATATTTCTCATACAATCTAGAAAGAGCAGTGGTGGCAGGACACTTGAGAACACATTTAAGTGTGATTTATCATGATAACCTGTCTGATATTTCTGAGAGTGCCCCTCCATTACTGTTTCAGTGTGACAGTGAGTGAGTGATTGAAGGTTTAACTCCCATTTTTGCAGCATGTGAATCATACCACAATATGTAAGGTTAGATGGGAGTGCGGCCAAGAGTGACAGGTCATGTGTGTTTACTCCTTTTGTCTGGGTCATCTGTCTGGTGTGACCCTTTGAAGTTAAACATTGGGGCATTGCATGTCTGAAAGCTCAATGGTTCTGTGGCTCACCTTCACTTCAGCTACATGTTGGTACAAATATTACCATGAGTGAGTGAGTGAGTTTAGTTTTATGTCGCTTTTAGCAATATTCCAGCAATATCACAGTGGGGGGCACCAGAAATGGTCTTCACACATTGTATATATGTAGGGACTTGAACCTGGGTCTTTGGTGTGACGAGCGAACGCTTGAACCACTAGGCTACCCCGCCACCTCTAAGTTGCAGGAAGTATTGTGGAAAAGCTAACGAATACAAAAGATAAGGAAAAGAACAAAAAATGTCCTTCTGCAACATCTTCCTTAAGTGGCATTCTGCAACATCAATTAGGACAACGAACGTTGAGTGAAAATAGTGAAGCCCTGAATGAATGTTCATGTTGTCATGGTCAATACATTCATGACAAATTCACACAAAGTTTGAGTCAAGTCACCAGTAGTTCTTACTTACAAGCTTTTATACTTGTTTCAAACATTAATATTTTCATTTTTCAAAGTCAACCATAATAACCATATACTTACGTATTTAATAAAGGTAGGCTAGTATACGGTGGGAAATATAATCAGGTTTTCAAATTTTTCAAATATTCTGACTTCAAATTTGAAACCATTCACTAACATGCTTCAAAGGTTGAATCAAGGTTAAAATTTTAATTTTAAAACAAATATCCTGAATAAGGTCCCACTGCTAACTACACACATGCCAAATTCTTGAAACAGATAACAGATTAAAACATTCATAGGCCCAGAATATGGCTGCCTAGATCGCCAAATATAAAATTCATTCTGAATTCTGTGAGCACATATTAGACATATCATACTTGTGATCATTTCTACAAAGTTTCACCTACATTGGCTAGGTCACATAGTTTCAGAGCTATCTCCATGCCAAAGCAAACTAATAACAAACGATAAAAAATATACCAATGCATAAGCCTATTTGACTTTCAGCCCTGTGAGCTGGGACTGAAGGTCTTAAGGTTATTTAAAAACAACATCTATTTTGCTGTAAAGACTAATGTGATAAGAGGTTCTTTAGGGTTTGATGGTTAGACATAGCAGCTATCATTGTCATGAGGGAGTGAAGGAGGATTGGTAAGTTAGTTTGTTGTTTAACATTGCACTCAGCAATATTCCAGCTATATGGTGGTGGTCTGTTTATAATCGAGTCTGGGCCAGACAATCCAGTGATCAACAGCATGATCATCAATCTACACGAATGGGATACGATGACATGTGCCCCCCAAGCCAGCGAGCCTGACCACCTAATCCTGTTATGACAAGCATGGGTTACGGAAGACCAATTCTAACCTGGATCCTCACGGGTGCAGTGAGAGAAGGAGGAAAGGAAGGAAGGATTGGAAGAGGATAGAAGAAGGTAAAAAGGAGGTTTCACACTTTGGAATTGATGGTTCAATGTTTCACCATCACATTCTATCACATAGAATGCAGAGTGTAAGAGAGAGTTCATTGTGACTTCATTTGGATTTGTTTGTTGCTTGGATCAGACAATCCAGTGATTGATATTATGACCAATGACCCATGCTGTGATTATAAACACTCAGCAAAGTCAGTGATCCCTGACCATTGATCCACTAGAGGGTGCTCTCATGGTGCGGCGTTTAGGACTGACTGACTGACTGAGTTTGGTTTTACGCCGCTTTTAGCAATATTCCAGCAACATCACGGCGGGGGACACCAGAAATGGGCTTCACACATTGTGCCCATGTGGGGATTCGAACCCGGGTCTTCAGCGTGACGAGCCAACGCTTTAACCATTAGTCTACCCCACAGCCCCATGGCGTTTAGGAACGACTTCGAGCTTACGATTTGTAGTAACAATAAACATCATAATGATTCTGGCTTTTGTGTTGCATACAACTCATATCGCACGAGACTCTCACGCATGACTCATCAACATGGATTTGTCAAGTATAGAACAGACTCTAGCATGTCATCAGAGTCACTAAAAGGGAGGAAAGAAAGCCTAAATAAGAGAGAGAGGGTGAGTTTAGTTTTATACCATACTCAGCAATAGTCGAGCTATGTGGCATCCAATCCAGTGATCAACAGCATGAGCATAGATCTATGCAACTTGGATACGATGACATGTGTCAACCAAGTCAGCGAGTCTGATCTCCCGATCCCGTTAGTTGCCTCTTACGACAAACATGGGTTACTGAAGATCAATTCTAACCTGGATCTTCACAGGTCAAATATATCAGAGAGTTTGCAACTGGATTTTCTCTTGCTACAAATTGCTGCTACAAGTTGCTGTGGTGACTTAAAGTCACCACTTACAGCAAACACATGTTGCTGGGGACCCATTCTTACACCAAAGCAACAATTTGAACAGTACCTGTATTCAATAGAATTACACACCTGTGCATCTGATTAACTCTTGAGAAAAGCCACACAAACGTACCACCTCGACAGTACAATGAGCATGTTTATGGGCTGAGAAGCTGAAGATCCAATGTGGGTGAACAGGGGTTTCAAACCAACAACTCACAGCAGATCATGGCACAGCCAAGGGCCATAACTCTCCCCAGTGACTACGGTAACAGCTACACATCCATAAAGATTGCCACTGAAAACGATGTGTGTTGCATATTGTCTGGTGAAGATCTACAAAGGCCAGAACAATCATTAAGCAAAGCTGCATTACTTGAAAGACACTGAAATACACTGTATAGGTCAAGTGTGTTTTCTCCACTGTCTGGTATTGTCTATCAAAGGGCAAAGACAGCATTAAGACTATCCAGACACTATATATATATCTCCATTGCCTGTTCAAAGTGTGAAGTTACACACATAGGGCAAAGATTTCAGGTTTATCATTAAAGAAATATTGCCAACAACATCACCTAATGACCAGAATGTAACTTTCATATAATGTTCATGAGGACTGTACAGACTTTTAGGATTGGATTGTTTGAAACTTGTAAAAGATGAATAAACCTTTAGTAGACTTTTGTAGACAAGCCTAGGTACAGAGGACATAAACCTCCAAGCAATCCTATTGTAGGCAAGCAGAGGACCTAAACCTCCATGCAATCCTATTGTAGGCAAGCAGAGGACCTATACTGATGTACAATCCTATTGTAGGCAAGCTGAGGACCTATACTGATGTACAATCCTATTGTAGGCAAGCAAAGGACCTATACTGCTGTAAAATCCTATTGTAGACAAGCAGATGACCTATACTGCTATACAATCCTATTGTAGACAAGCAGAGGACCTATACTGCTGTACAATCCTATTGTAGATAAGCTGAGGACCTATACTGCTGTACAATCCTATTGTAGACAAGCAGAGGACTTATACTGCCTTACAATCTGTAAAATCCTATTTGTGACAAGCAGACCTATTGTAGACAAGTAGAGGACCTATACTGCCATACAATCCTATTGTAGACAAGCAGAGGACCTATACTACCATACAATCCTATTGTAGACAAGCAGAGGACCTATACTGCCGTACAATCCTATTGTAGACAAGCAGATGACCTATACTGCTGTAGAGACAAGCAGAGGACCTATACTGCCATACAATCCTATTGTAGACAAGCAGAGGACCTATACTGCCATACAATCCTATTGTAAACAAGCAGAGGACCTATACTGCCATACAATCCTATTGTAGACAAGCAGAGGACCTATACTGCCGTACAATATTATTGTAGACATACCTGAGCTTTGTACTCATTCTATCACAGCACCCAATGGGAGACAAGTTTAGTTCGGTACTCATCATCACAGCACCCAATGGGAGACAAGTTTAGTTCGGTATCAAGATCTGTGCTTCCATTAAACCCAAAACGAGACAAGTGTGAGTGGTATACCCATACTTGAGACAGTACCTACAGCAGATCTTTAGTGCCACTGAATGCCATAAGGAGACAAGCCTGAGTAGAATACCAACACTG